GCGGCGGCCGGGCAGTGCGCTCCGCCCGGGCCGGAAGGAGGCGGGCCGAACCGCGCCTTGCGGGGTGCCCGCCCCGGTGTTCATGGCGGTCTCCCCGTAAGGCGCGGGAGGGACAGGATGCGCAGCAGTAGCGTCGCCGGGAAGCGGGGAAGTTGGCCGTACGGCCCCTTCCTGCGCTCCGCAGCAGAAAGGACATGGTGGGGCCGCGCCGGGCCGGTGCTGCAGCGGGTGGGACCTGGTGGGGCCTCCGCTCTGCGCCCGTGAAAGGGCGGGGAGCGGGAGCTGCCGCCGTCAGGAGGCGGGAGGCACGAGTGCCTTTCCTCTCCTGGGCTGGTCTGAGGTGCGGGAGCTTCTGTCCGTTCCACAGCCTGCCGTCCGGAGCGGTCGGGATACCTGCAGCTAGGATGGTGTGGTCACTGCGCTCATAATTTGAGCTCTGACTTTCCTGGAACTGCTGCTACCTGTGTGTCCCCCCTGCCTTCCCCTCAACGGGGTAGCGTCTCAGATGGGCCCAGCTTCCACCAAGCTCTGTAGGTGGCCAGGGCTGATGTTTAGTAAAGAGGATAATGTGTATTTTGTTGTTAGGTGCCTTTCCCAGGTGTGTTCCTAGGTAAGGGCTACCTGCTAATCCAATGCAGAGGTGATACCTGTGTGAGTCACGCTGCTCAGCTTGTGTGTTGCCAGGAGGGTTTGTCATCTTTGGGGCCACCACAGTTGTGACCAGTTAGTATTACTCTTTTTATCTTTCTCTCTCTGCCCGAAGGTAAACACCTACTAGAGAAGGTTTTCCCAAGATTTTTTTGCCCAGCTGTGACTTGAACCTCTAGTCATGTTTTGCAGTGTTGTTCATAATCATTTGGGAGATGGAGCTCTTCATGTCTTCTCTTTTTATATTCAGAATAGGGGAGGGGAGAGAAGAGAAACCCTTTATCTACTTGTGATTACATGTTACCTGTTGCATTTTGGCAAACACCTGCTTGTAGTGCTCTGTTGGTGCTGTTGAAGCCCAACATCAGAGTCACACCTGTAGTACATTTTACACAGCTATCTCCAGTCATGAATTCTGAGGGCAGAATGGAGTCAGTTATTTTCATGAGTTAAAGGTGGATTGGATTTTCACATTAAGGTTTTATCTGTTTCTAGGACCATTTTAACCTTGCTCTTGGCTGCACATTCCCCATAGGAAGCCTCACCCTCTCTTCAGTGCAAAGGAATACCTTGGGTTTGGACATTATCATGCAGATTGCTTAAGGTCTGCGTGTCTTAGTAACCTCCTGAGAGCAGAGCTCCTCCACTATGAACACAGAGTTCAGTTATAATTCCTTCCTGGCAGGACTTCCTGCAGCATTGCCATCAGCTTGTGTGGAAAGGAGGATAGCATGCTCCCTTTACCAGCTTGGGCAACTGGAAATTGTGAAAAATTGGAAATTGGTTTTACAACCTTAATGTTGTTCTCTCATCTCTGCTCGGCATATTCATCCTGTATGACTTTTATTTTTTTTTTTTAGAACAACTTCTTAGAAGTGCCCTGTTTCTTGACTGGCTAGTACCAGGGTAATTCACGGGGTTGCAAAACTCCCAACAGTTGCTGTTTGCTCTTTCTAGGAATTACATGTTCAAGGCCCTTTATACGAGGGTGAGTTTTTGCCCTGAAGCAAGATGAGTTTCAATTTCTTTAAAACTTGTAAGATCTCATTACCCAGAAGTTTAGCAGCTCCCTAATTCCCGTTCTGCCAGTCTTTCCATCAAGAATTTGTCTCCACCATGGAGGCATGGGAGGGGCAGGAAGGCCCTAGGAGCACTCCAGACTCTACCAATACTGTCCCTTGTGGATTATTACTACATTTTCTCTGCGGTGTTGACAGGCAGCTTGGAGTGACAGGTAAGCAAAATGATACCAATGCAGGGCAGCTTCTGTAACATTTATCTTAATTTACCTACCATCTTAGCAATGTAGGATAGGAAAGTTGGAGATATTGGATAACAGGAAAAGCCAAACCTGGATAATACATATGAACGAAAATAGAAGAATCTGCAAAACAGGCATAGCAGAGAAATGAGATTAATATTTCTATTACCTGTGGAGCATGCCAATCTCAGAGGGTGTTCCAACCTGAGTCTGCAAGGATGTGGATGTGCACAGGCTGCTTTCCTACCCCAGACTGCTCATGCAGGTTACATCTGCACCTACAGAACTCCTAGTCCCTGCTCTGCATCATTTTGACATGGCTTTTTTTGGGGAATCTAGGCTTCATCTTTTCAGAACTTTAACTGGAGTTATGAGTTCTGGTTGGTTGGTTTTTGGCATATTTTTTTCTATCAAATGTAGGGGTAGAGAAGTAGGGCTGAAGGAGAACCTTCTTAAAACGTAAAATGTTACAATCTGAATTGAACATCTGCTTCTGCTGGCTCTGCATCTCTTGAAGTAGAAGTACCAGAAGAGGCTTTGCAATTTGTTCCAACTTAGAGAATGAGTAATAAAGAGATTCTTATCTCCACTGAGACCAAATATAGAGCTGGCATTTGTTACATATATATTATTGCACACAAGTTATTCATTTGTGTTGCCTAAGTGTTTACACTCCTAATCATATTAATTCAGTTAAGTAATGAAGTGAGCAACTACTCTGGAATTTACAAGACATTTGCTTCCTGTCTTGCTTCAGGTCTACTTATGTGTAATAAGCGTTGCAGTACATGTGTTGCATTTCAAATTAAGATAAAGAAGAAAAAGGAGCAAGTGACATACAGAGCAAAGAACTTTCTGGATTAATAAACATACAGGTAATGCTGCCATATCCAACTTTGCAGTTTTACTACAAGAAAACAAGTCCAACATTATTAATTTTGATCATCTCTTCATATTGCGATATCCACCACAAAGATGTAGAGGGAGAAAATCCTTCTGGTTATTATGGATTTGGGCTGGGCAAAATATCACAAGCATTCAGCACATTAAGAACTGCCACCCCAAAACAGAGATGCTCTCTTTCTTGATATGCTTGTTTCTTGTTGACTGATGTTGGATAGTTCAGAAAGGGTGCGTGTATCCATAATGTATTTGGATTCCTCCTACTTGTGCATATTGCACCATATTCAGGTAATCATTACAGATCAGTTTGTTACCCACAACCTATGAAAGTTCTGAGTATTTTCCTTTTTGTGCATGTGCAGGAGTAAACACAGGCTTACTAGGAAGATCTGATTTTACTACTTTCCAAAATGACATCTTCCAGCAACTAGTTTATTCCTAAGTAAGGAGAAGTGCTCATACTGTGATCGTGTTTTAGTAATTGATGTCCAACCAATGTGTCCCATATTTTTATGCTGCAGGAAAAGAGACACAGATAACATTCCTCTTGAATTTTACTTTTGTGATGATCTCTTTCTCTCCAAGAACCACTGTGGTTCACATTCAGTCATCTTTAGTTTTCTTGTATCACATGTGCTATTCAAAGTCAGATTTTGAAGGGTCACCTATAGATGCCTTGTAAAATATGCAAAAGCAGCTTTATAAAGCCAACTGGAATTAGAGTATAGGATGTTTGCAAGCATCCCACTTGTCATCTGTTTACATCTTTAGGTGCATCTCTTTCTGGAAATCTGCATCTCAGGTTGGAAGAGGTGGCCTGTAAATTCCCTGTGGAAGGGGAGAAGGCCCTCCAAGCCTTTAATGGAATGCCTCAAACACTTGCAAGGAAATAAATAATGCAAGCCTGCCATTCGAAAAACTGATAAGGCTCACAGGCACTGAAGAAGCAATGTAATGACTGTCTTGTGAAGACAATATAGCTCTGCTGCTCTTCTGGTGAGCTTGCTAGTTCTCTGTTCTCAAGGCCATTATGTCTGATAATTGACCTTTGCTTCCTTATCTACAAAATGCATATGAAAGTGCACACCCCTGCATATGGTAATGAAGATTATAGAGGTCATGCTAAATACATATGACTATGGCACTTGTCTCTCCATCTAAATCATGCCACACATAACCTGAGAGAAGGGAAAAACCTGAGACAAGGCTGTCCTTGGCAAGGGGAAGTGGACCATGCTAATTCAGCAAACATAAAAGGGGAAAATAAGCACCCCTAAGAGAAAAAAAAGAAGAAGGTTGTTCACTGAATTTCACTGAATTTTCACTGAATTTTTTAGAGTTGGAAGGGACCATAGAGATCATCTAGTCCAACTCCCCAGCTGAAGCAGGATTGCCTGGAGTTGTTGCCTGGGAAGAATTTTCCCAAAAAGGAAGATCTTACTTGGGGAAAAATTTTCCTAAGAAAAAAGACTGTACTTGGAGAGATTTTTCCAAGAAAGAAGAAGAAGATTATGTCTGTGAAGACTCCCTGAAAATGATGCTGGAACCAGGACTGGTGATCTCTTTATCTCTGTCTTTTTCTCTGCCTTTTTCTTTCTCTTCCCCTTGGTTTCTCTTTTCTCTTAGAGTTGTTAGGTAATGCCCTTAAGTACTGCTTGTCATAAGTTGTTGTATAAATAACATGCTAAGTAACAAAATACATACCTCGCCGCTTGACATAATTTGTTATGCCTAACCAATTATTGTAGGCTTGTTAAGAACTATACTAATCATTTTGGGAAACTAATAAAAAAGGCTCATGGAGAATATGAATAGTTGTGGACATGCATCTTACAATACACTGTAGAGGGTGACATCCCAGAGTAAATTGAAAGCTAGTCAGTTCCTTTGTAACTCTGTTTCTCCAAAGAAAGCTCTGTCATGTCTGTTTGTGTAAATTACAGTGATTGCAGTGAAATACAACTCCTTTTGGTGTGTACAGTGAAACTAGTTAAGAGATTGAACATCTTCCACAGTGCAAACAACACCATAATGATTTAGGAGCAACTGCATCCCCAACACCATAGCAACAAATGTTCTGAAAGAAAGTCTATTACCAGCATGGTCCTTCTTAAGGAGTTCTTCACTGAATTGGCCGTTTTGTCATCCAGAGCCTGAAGATAGCATTTACACACAAGTTATCTGAGATTACCAGTCAGGCATGGGGCTGTGAGATACCTCAACAGGCATCTATTTATTGCACTGACAAGTGAATTCTGTGCAGATCCCAGGGGCTCCTCTACGGATACACAGCAGGGAATTCAAAGCACAGCAGGGTTCAGCAGAAGTAAAGAATGAGAAGAAATTAATTGACAGCCTCTTGTCTTTTAGTTATGTGCATCGTATCATATTGAAATGGCTCCTTTTCTCTTCTGCTCCATCTCCACATATTGACGGGGTGTGGTTTTTTATCCTTTTCTCTAGTTTGGTTCAGCCAAGATGAACATATCAACATGAAAAATACTGAAACTGACCAGTACAGGTCTCCCTTCCAGGGCAATAGGGAGCCACAGCCTCGGTATCCCAGTAGATTCTTGAGTGTTCTATGATCTGTGTGCTGAACATGTGGCTTTGAAATAATTCCCTTCTTTCTGTAAGAGATCTAGGACTAATCTTTTTTCAGATTCACCACTTTTGAAGATTATTTTATAACCTAGGTACTTGACAGTTATATACAGGACACTTGACAAGAATTCCCATCACTCGCATAGCAGAAAGCATTTATTGTAATATAATCTCCTACCTTTCTACATATAAAAAATGGTCCTTCTGTCTTGCCCCATCAGTGTTGCTCCAGCCTAGCTTGGGAAATACAAGTTCAATGGTGTCCTGTTTTGCTGGTTATGTCTATAGTTAAATCCCAAGTATGTGCTTATTTAACACACCAGTGGAACTGCTATTGAATCATCTTGCATATATCTGGCTGGCTGCTGTTAGCTGTGGGACAACATAGTTGGATGCCACATTAGGTTAAACAAAATAAACAAATATTTCAAATGGTTTTCACCACTATGAATCACTTTTCAAAGTGATTTATTATGTCAAAAGTAATTCCATTTCTGGCTGAGCTGTCACAACTCCCTTAACTCCTCCTCAGACTCCAGTGTTCCCTTCACACTGCCTCCATTTTGGTTAGTCAGAAAAGCTGAGAGACTTGTAATTAAAAGAATCTGTCTTGGTTACAAAAATTTAGAATGTTCCTACATTATCTGATTAGCCTGAACCAATCAAGGATGATTCACAGAGAAGATTTAGTCAGTCATAGAATCAGGGCAAATACCTCTAGGGCCCTAAAAGTAACATGTAATTGGCTTATACTTTTTGTTTTGGTTTTAGGAGGACAGGAGAAGACAAAATGCAAAACCTGAAATGACCACAAGTAGGCTAAACAGGGTTTCTGTTTTCCTTGTTGCTGTTATTGAAATAACCAAAATGCTAGGATTCAGTAATGAGAAAACTCTATGAAGAAAAAATCGAATATGTTGAACATAAAATTAAAATTAAGCTTAAATTAAAACAAATACTAAAAAGAATCATAATAGTCGTTTCTCTAAAAGGCGGAAAACTTTGTTTTGTACCTTCTTCAGCCGCTGGGTGGCACAGGGCTGTAGACTGAAGAAGTCCAAGCTGTGAGGGAAGGATGCACACATGAGCCGCTGGCGGCTCCACCAAAAATATCACAGTTCCACGGCTTGGTGATCCCAGGAAAATGTCACATCATGCGTTTTCAGAAAGGCACATTCAGGAATGTTGAGCAAATGAAGGTAACTAGAGCCGCATCGAAAAGCTCCATGAAGCAGTTTGCAATGTGTGGGATGGTTGTGATGGTGCGGGGAAGGGCTCTGTCCTGCAGCTGAGACGGTGATTGATGCCGTGTTGGTCGTTCTGTGTGTTCCGGCTCTCTGGTAGCGCCTTCAGTGCTACATAGTTCTGGAAACAACCACAATCAAAGAGAAAAACCTCAGGAGAAACAAGGCAAAAAGCAGTTGACTCTCAGTTGCGTGATTTCAGTTCAGCCCCACATAACCAAAGGTACGATTCCACTCTTAGTTGCGCAGAGATGAATCATGAGAAATTGAAGCTAATGCAGTGAAATGAAAAAGGACAGGCCCAGCACAACTCAACAGACACAAAAGATGCCAAAGTTCAAGTTTCAAGACAACCGTTTTGTGTTGAGCCTCTCACTTGCTGACTGTTTTCTTCTGCATTTGGAATTGGGTCTGAAACGACTTCTGTGCCCAGACAGACACTGACAGAATATATTTAGCCATTTGATACAATTGCATGGGGAAGTGCTTCTTGAAACAAGCAAACAACCCAGGAAGCAAACAAAACCCAACCACTCAACCAAAACAGCTTTCATCTTCATAATTCTTTTTCTCAGTCTCATAAAATTAAACTTAGGAAAGAGCATAACAGGAAAAATAGCACCGCACATAGTCCCTCTTGAGCAGAATTTCTCCCTGACTAGTTTTCCATCTGCCCAGAATCAGCAATGTGAAAAAAAAACCAACAAAAAAATGACCCCAAAAATTCAATCAGATCAAAGACACTAACTAGTTTACAAGAATTGCTTTTGACTAACCGAGGACACACAAAAATATTGTTTCTGGTGCCATCAGAAAACTTACAGCAGTTTTCATCAAGCCTTTCCTGCAAACAGGGAGGAAGAACGAGGCAAAGTTGGAAGGATGCTTCTACCTCCAGCTGCATGTTAAAGGGCTATTTCAAAAACATGCCTTATTTTTCACTGAAATGCAATCACACCTCTGGGAAGAGCACCTCAAGTCACCATGTTCAGGCTGCAGTGACGGTCCCGAAAATGAGAGGTGAGTTTCTGAGTTAGAGAAGTTGAACTGGATCCAGCTCTAGAATGACAAGTTATTGCACAGTAGGCTCTGGGGGTGTGGATAGGCTCAAACCATTGAAAACAAGAGAAATAGCTGGCAGGAGAAAAAGGGGAAGCAAAATAGAGAATTGCTGAAGGAGGTAAATGGTGACGAGCACTGCCTGAATAGCTGTTTCCTGCTCAGCAGAGAGCATTCGTTGCCACCCAGGTTTCCAGTAGCATACTGAAACCAGGTGACGTGTTTTCCTGCTCCCACAGTTGCCTTTTTAGACAAGATTTCCTGTTCCATGGACGCGGGCAGCCCTGCAACCCCACCATGGCAGAGGACTGCAGTGACCAAGATGGAGAACACGCACAGGCTTGTCATTTCTCTTGTTCTTTCACACCACTCTTTCTTTTGCCTCTGCAACAGCAGCACATGATGCATATCACATGTTGCACTGCTGTGACAAGCAGCAAATTAAGAGCAGCAAAACAACAATATTCTCCCTGTGTGGACACAACAGAGAGATGGCAAAATCTTACATGGAAGACCTTAGAGGTAGCAAACTATAGTCTTAGATCTTCTGGTAGTATTCTTACTGTTACAAAGTCTGTAAATCAGATCTTACGTGTTGGGAGAGCCACTTGAGTTCAATCTAAGATTCACATGGGCCCCAGAGTAGTAGCTGATGATTATGACTGTAGGGCAACAAGCTTTCTTGCAGCAAAGACAAGGACTTTCAGGTTTTTAACCCCTGTTTTGACAGATCCGTTTTATGCTCTGTCTCTTTTGTTTTGCTACTTTAGCATATTAAACTATAGCTATTGTTTTGCTCTGCTTGCCTTTTTATGCTGCAAAGGAGCAAAAGAATACATAATAATACATTCCAACAGCTGCTCCTCTGTTAAACATAAAGTTTGGTTTTAATTAGGAGGAGAATGTATTCACCTGGATAAAGCATGAAGGACTGATCTTAAAGCATAAGAATCCAGGCTGCAGTAGCTACAGCCCCACGCTGTTTTTACAATGCAGTTTAAGGGCAAGATATCTTGCTAAGAATAACCACAGAGGAGTGTGTGCTAATGTTCTGAAACTGTGTGTGTTTCCTCTTCCCAGAGCAGGATGGCTCTCGCTGAGCCATGGCCTGAATGTACGCCTGCCCGTTCAATGTAAGAGCAGTAACATACTTCTCCAGCAAGACAGTACTTATCTGTAAATGATTTAATGTATTATAGAGAAAAAAAATAATGATAGATAGAGAGATACATAGATAGAGAGATAGATAGATAGATAATTTAAGGTCTCTCTTTTACTTGGAGAAAACAAATATACAAATAAATCCCATTTTGACTATGGAAGATTGGGACACAGAACAGTCCCCTAACAGGTTTAGACAGTATCTTCTTTGAAAAAACACAAATCAGAAGAAAGCCCTCAAAATCAGAAGGCCCATATTGATGAACTGGCTGATCTGGAATCAAATCTGTTCTTCCCATGTTCTAGTTTATGATGTTTAGCATAGTATTAACTCATGCTTTAACGGTTCATAACTGATTCCCGCTGCTTCTGTTTTCCAGGGCTAGCTCAGAGGAAGCTGCTGCAGTTGCAGCTGATGTTCTGCACTGGCAGGGAGGGAGATCAGGGCAAGGGGAGAGACAGAGAGTGAGATACAGATGGCTCTTTCTGCATCTCAACAAGAAAGGCCTTGACAACAAATGGTTTCCTAAAATATTTGTTTTAATAAGACAGAATAAGGAGAGTATTATACATAATAAATAAGTTTCACGTCCCTTCAGCTACCGGAAATGCTGAGTTCATCCAGCATTGGATGGACGCCAGGTGGATTTTCCCCCCATGGACGGGATCTGCACAGGGTGCTGTGGAATCATGCTAGCTTGCTGTGCAGACAGGTCCTTTCAGCACTGCCA